TGTTTTGTTGTAATGTATACTATGTGTTAAACACATGTCTCTTAAGTCTATTTCTTCTAGCTTCTAAAAAAAATCTTTTCAGGACCTATTTGTCTCCTAGCTACTTATTTTGCTCAATGGCTGGCCATATTGTGAATATGTGTTGGAGTTGGGAATATTCTCCCCCCCCCCCCCGCCCCCATAGCAGCGTCCACAAAATGCCTTTGTTATTTGTGTAATACTCAACTGGCTATTCAGCAGGGCCAGGGGGGGAATCCATTCAGCCTCTTAACATATGCAGAGTCACTACAAAAGAGGAAAGGTTAAGGATCAGATTTGTTGCTGTCCATCCAGCATTTCTATGTGGGTATACTTTGGGAGTGTTCATAGGCTTAGAACTGAAAATTTTGAAACAGAGGCTGATTGCTAAGGGACTGTCACTATACAGTTTATTAACAAAAGGAGTTGCTTTAGTCCAAGAGGAAGTGTTCCTAGCTTGCAGTAGGGGTGGGGGTGGGAATAAATTTCCTCAACCCACTTCTAGCATACTCTTACTTAGCTACATATTGTATCAAAGAATCCAGCTAGATATTTGACAGAAGACAGGTGTGCAACAGGGGCATCTGGACATATAAAAGGTGAGGAGTACTTAAACCTTGTTTGCTCTGGTGCATTACTTCTATAACCTCTCACCTCTGGCTATATATTTTTTTCTCACTTAAAATGGAAACATGTCTTGGAAGTTATGCTGGGGGAGGGGAGAACTTGCAAAAGATAAACCATGTGCAGGGAAGAGACTGGTCTGTTTTTTTTTTTTAAAAAAAAGAACCATTCCTGCACATGCTAGGTGTGTGATTTAAATGCCCCCTTTCATGTCATGTATTGGCATCAAACACATATCTAGAAATCCCATGTTAGTCTGACCATCAGTTTATAAACGCTGATACAGAATAAAAAAGCAGTTCCAGAGTAGGAGCTAAAAGCACCCTCCCTCATCATTATTCAGTGTAGCAAATGGTCATCAGACTGCAATCCATCTAAGTATGTGTGAAAGTGCAACCCGCTTTTTATCGTTCTGCTGCAACTGAACATAAATCAAAATACTACTTGAACAACTCATTCTTTGAATCTCCTCACTCCCTGAGAGGTCTGGATGCAGGCAGCGCTTCCAGCAAGTCAGCCTGTTTCTGTCTTACTTCTTTCTAAAAACTGCAATTGATGCAGTACCAATATGCATCCTTTTCACTCTGATGCAGCTTGGATAATCTTTTAAATATTTTCAAAGCTGGATAGCTTTCTCATTCAAATACTTGGGCTCAAGGATACAGACAAACATCCACTAATGCCTGTATTCCATATGCTCCCTTCCCCAATGTTGCAGAAGAGCTGTTTTACCTCAGCTTTTGCCCTCAGTGAACCCTTTATCTGTACACTGATTACATGACCGAAAAGCACATTTCTGTCTGTTGTAAAACAGTGTATTGGTAGGTATAGTTTAACATTCAGCTGTTGCTGTAAAGGAAATACGTATTCATGGATATTATCTAAATTCCTCTACAATTATGGCTGAAGCTGTTCATTATTTTAATGGACCTGGATCCTATCACACATTAAATTGTTTGTGAAAAGATGCCCTCTAGGCTTATTCAGATATGTTGCTCTGAAAAAACAGGAAATTATCTGAGTAATACTGGTGGAGGAAGAGATGTCATAAGAAATTCTGTTAATTTTTCTTAGTCTTGTATTTAGAACACTTCTCTTACAACCTGTGGAGATATTGTGCACATATTTTCAAAAGAGATAAACGAAGAATCAGTGTGTATACATAATCAGGAACACAGAACCATCAGCCACTGTGTGTTTACTCCACAGCCCAAGACAGAGGTAAGGTCAACCCTTCTGATATGTTATCTCATGTAAGAGGGAGCATTTATCTTATTTCATGCAAGAGGGTGTAATGTATATGTATAATGCCATATGCATAAGTACATCCTCACAGTTGCTATCTAATGTTTCAGTGGAGCCTATCCCAACCCCCATTCATTCTAAGTCTGGTTTCCTGGCTTTCTGCTATCCCTGCTGAACTAAAGGAGTCCAAAAGCTGTACACATATGACCCGCTGGAAAACAACTTCCTATTCTGAATAAAAACAGGAAACACCACAAAAATAGACATTGCTGATACTAAGAGTGGTCCAAACAAGACATATATGAAAAAGAAAGGAAAAACAATAAATAAAGATGGTCTCAGAAAATGTGATCTCATCCATCATCTATACAGACAAAAAAGAAAAAAAGTTCTGCATGTGCCATATTTTGTGGGAAGCACAAGGGAGGGAAATCCTTGCCAGTTCTTCTCCGGCAAATATAAACAAACAGAAAATGGAAATGAGCAAGGCTGGCAAGGACAGGAACATGGCTTCTGAGACGGTAGCACAGAAATATGTGAAACTCTGAACTTTGGAGTTAACTCATTCGTGCTTTCCCATCTTGGCATTTTTCTAGAAGGAATCATTTTTTTCAAATTTCTTGTTTAATCTCACATAAAGCATGCTGAAGTTTACTCTCCATATTACGCCAACCCCAAGAGACTACTATTGTAATCTTACTGGTCTGAAAGCAGCCACTTGTGTCGGAGACCGACAGAGAGAACAGAAAGTTGACTGACATCTACAGGTAGTTTTCTGAATGAATTGCAGCAGATCTCCAAGGCTGTTGGGTTCTTGGAGCAGACCTCTGTCTGATGTTTCTGCTTGCACTGTGGGCAGCAGCATGAGCAAGAAAATATCTGCAAAGCTGGCACATGGAGATATCTGGTACTTCACTGGGCTAGTGAAAGTCCCATGCTTGTGAATGGGTTTCCTCTGGAAATCCTACCAATACAACAGAAGTCATGCAAAGAGTAGGAAAGTCCATGCTCCTTGGATGGTCCACAAGATACTGCCCTAATTGTTGAGCAGCAGTAACAAGATGGACTTGAGCATTAGATGTTTCCTTGAGAGCAAAACCTGCTAAGGCTATAGCTGCTAATTTTCCCCATTTGTACACAGTCCAGTGCAAGTACACTACAAAAACAGCAGTGCTTTTCAAAATTAAGTCAAGGTAACTCATTTCCTTTTCTAAACAAAATGATCCCAAACACTTGCTACAATACTTCTCCTCAAACAGCATGAGGGAGAAATCCTCCAGTTGCTGAACGCTGTAAGAATTCATGCTTAGCATCCACTCTGAACTTTACATTGTCTCACACATATACACAGTTTTGCTCTAATGCACACATTGCTCCCATTAGGACCATGCAATGTGACCTAGGGTCAAGTTATTGTCCAGCAGTATCTGGAAGGCACAGGCTCCCCACCCCCACTGCAAGGTGCTAAGCTATACACATGCATCAGTACAAGGCAGCTGGAGAAAGTCTACAGCACCTCAGAATTCTGCAGTCCAGCTGCACCCATTTTTTAAAAATTTCCATCTGGACCACTTGCTCACAGCAACAAAAAAGTACTGTATGTAGGAAATCATCAATTAGCATATGAAAATCTATTAAGTCTTTGTACTTTTTTGCAAGCCGGAGTGTTCTGAAAAGACTTGATCTAGGAAGACTTCAGTGTGGGGGTTGAAACATGTTACAGTACAGCTCTTCTTTGACAAACAGAACTTCAGAAGAAATTGGTTCACATTCATTAGGAAGGGTGTTCTTTAAATTAAAAAAGGCTTCCACCAAAATCTGTCCTAGTGAAAATGAAGGAGAAGGAAAGGTCAACATTTTGGACAAAAAGACTATACCTGAAAGAAGCTGGATGAGAATTTCAAAAGTAACAGACATTATTCTGTTGGGTGGTGGTGGTGCAAAAGATGCCAGGATTACTGAGGATCCTCAGTGTAGTGTGCTGGATACAGTTCCACACTAGAACTCAGGAGACTTGGGTTCAAATCACAACTCAGTCATGGAAACGCACAGTGGTTGAGGCTGGCACAACCCACTCCTTAAATATCTCACTCCGAAAGTCCTATTATGCTTACTACAAGTTGGGTTGCATCTTGACAGTACATGACACACACCTACTGAAGGGCAAATGAATATCCAGAGGAAGAGGCGTTGTATCAGATCCTGTTCCATCTAGAAGATGCCCTGATGAGACTAATCCTTCGTGTTATTGACTGACTCCTGTCTCTTTAGGATCTCTCAGCCATTCCTGTACTGTGTAATAAATACACAATTGTCAGAGTTCCTGTACATCTTTTTCCCTACACATGAATCTACGAGGATAATTACAGCTTTCCCCAGAACACTAACTGCTGTTCAGAATACGACACATCATGTAATTTATTTATTTCATTTCTCACATTTATAGTCCACCAGATGGAAGGAGCCAGAAAGCAAAGGAACAGTAACAAGAGTGAGGAATGAAGAAAAAAAGGGGGGGGGCTTGATACCTGGGAGATCTGGATTCCAGCTGCACCTGTGTTGGCGCCTGTATGTTTAGTCAGGCAAACTGCTGGCTCTCTTGCAGCCCCAGTTTTACCCCCGTTAAAAATGAGGACAACGCTGGCCTATTCCTGGGAGGATGGCTCAGACGTCCCAAGGCAGCGATCTCTAGGTACCGAACTGGAAGGGAGTTACTTTTGAGTAAACCCGCAGAGGACGGAGTTGCACGATATGCGACTAAGAGCGCTCAGCCAGTAACCGGGGAGGGGGGCGGGGGAGGCAGAGGCGCAGAAGGTCACAAAGGCTGCAGATCAGAGCTGCCTCCAAAAGGGCGAGCGCTCTCTGACCGGCCGGGCCACCTGGACACAGTCCCGCCTGGCTTTGGACACAAAAAAGATTCAGCCCCCCCCCAGCAAGTCGGGGGCGCACCTCCCGGAGTGTGCGCTGCTGCGCCGAAACTCCAGCGGCGGCTTTTGCCGTCGGTTCTCTCCCGAGACGACGACGACCCCCCCACCCTGCCCCGGGAGCCCCCCCCCCGGGCCGGCCCTCCGGCGGGGACCTCCCTTCCCCGCCCTCCCGCGCCGCGCGCTCACCTCTCTCGCTGGCCTGGATGGCGCGCACCACGTCCTCCGCGTACTTGGCGCTCTCGTCGAAGGCGAAGTCGTCCATGTGGAAGCCCGCCTCGCGGAAGACCACATGGACGCCCTCGGCGGCGAAGAAGCAGCTGCGCTGCTCCTTGTCTTCGTGGTACACGAGCAGGACCCGGTTCCACTGGTGGTGCCGGAAGAGCGCCAGGAACATCTCGCCCATCTTGGCGTAGCCCGGCGAGACCCGCGTCAGGTGCGAGTACTCGCCCGTCTTGGCGCTGAAGCCCGCCGCCAGCGCGCCGGCCGAGATCATGGGCACGTTCCAGTGGGAGGCCAGGCGGGCCACCGGCGCGGCCGCGTAGTCGCACACGGGCCCCAGCAGCAGGTCCGGCCACTGCCGCCTCAGGGCCACCATGTCCACCAGGCTGAAGAACGCCCCGTTGCCGCAGTCCGAGTCGTTGTAGAAGAGGCGGAACTTGTAGCCCGCCGGCAGGAGGGTCCCGTTCGCCTCCAGGCTCCGCACCGCGTACTCGATGGCCGGCCTGACCCGCGCCAGCGAGAACAGGTACGCGTTGTCCTTGGGCAGCAGCACCAGCACCCGGAGCGCTTTCTCCTCGTCCGCCCCCTCCGCCGCCTCCTCCTCCTCCGCGCCGGGCCGGCTGCTGCTGCTGTTGCTGCTGACGAGGAAGAGCAGCCACGCCATGAGGAGGCTGCAGGCGACGAGGCGACCGGTGAGCCCCGAGGGCATGGTGGCCGTTGCGAGGAAGCGCGCCTCCGCGGGTCTTGCGCGGAAAAGGGCTTGGCCTCCAAAACCCGGGCGGGCGAGCAAGCAGGAGCGAAGCCTGGGAAGCCCTGGAGAAGTTTGTATGGGTTGCTTACAAGGGGGCGTTTCCTGCCTGGCTCACCCCCCACACACACACACCCGCTTTCCGTCCTCTGGATGCCTAGAGGCCAAGGTGCTGTGTTGTTGTTGTTGTTATTGTTGAAACGGGGGTGGGGGGGGAAATGTTTGGTACTTCAGCTACCGTTCGCCCGCGCCCTGTCCCTGGCGGCGCAGCTGGAGCGACGGCCGCGGCGGCACCGGCATCGCCTTCCTTTCCTCCTCCGCCGCCTCCCCCTCTTCCGCGGTCCCCAGCCCTCTCTGCCTCCCGAGCGATGTGAGGGAACCTCCCTTGCTCCCGCTGGTCTCATA